TTAATTTATGACTTATATTAATCAAATAGCTAAATATTATTCCTTATAATATTCACTCTCTCTTAATAAATCATCCTTCAAGTTGCTATGGTGAAGGCAACCCAAAAGGACCATGCACCACCGAATATAGTTATAGCCTTAGACACTATTCCAACAAATTGTTAAGTCGTATAATGTGTTCTTATGACTGGTATGGAATGATGACAGATTGGCGACATGCTAAAATCTTGCATGTGATAATGGATCAGTGATAGGCAGTAAGTTTAAATGTGATGAAAGGAGGGTGATAGGCTGTGAGTCTAGTGAAATGATGAAAGATAGTGATCCATCAGGTGGTTTTTGAGATGTTTGATAAATTCTTTTATAAAATTTTATAAAAGTGGGTTTTGAGATGATTTATTTATATTTAAAAAAATGGTTTAAGTTTGGGATGTTACATTATAATTTTGATTAAATAAGGTAACCATCAGTTTAGATGGATAATGATAGATTTTTTTGGGTACGAAAAAAAGGATTTGGTTTGATATTAATCCTACTTTTGGATTTGGTTTGCATTAGGTGTGATGATTAAGGTGAGGGTAATGAGGGGATGATATGGTAAGGAGATAAGTAGGTTAAGGATGGAGGACATTTGAGGGTTAGAAGAGGCGTAGGATTATAAAGAGGAGTGAAGTGAACCGAGATTAGGTTATTCGAACTGAGAGGATGAAGGTAGGTGGGTTGGCGAGTAGTTAAAGGTGGTGGATTATTCACACTAGACTATATGAGGGGAATAGGGTTGGATCAGGGATGTTAGGTTTGGTAAGGTTGGGGTTAAAGATTGTGCTACATGTTGGTGATGTTTTATATAGGGTGATGGTTTAGTTTCATCAAGGAAGTCATATTAGGTGGGTTGCTATTTAGGAAAGTTTCAGTAGGAAAAAATTGTTCTTAGAACGTTACAAGATGATATATGATTGGAATGAATTTGAGAAATGTATGCGAAGATGAATTACGTGTTTGCTTGCGTACCCAAGGAAGAAACATGTTTAGGGGTAGATCTAGGGGGTTCCAGAGGAGGTTCGTGCAACCCCTCAAATATTGCAGAATAATGTAAATGATTTGGAATTTTCCAACGTAATGTAAAGTTTCCGACATGCTACCCCAAAAATCATGAGTGCTACCCCTAAGATTTTGTCCCACGTCCACCACTGCACATGGTGTTTCACTAGGTGCAAGACTATAAGGTATATTGGATAACATATTTAAATGAAACAAGCACCCAAGATGTGTATATGTAGGTTTGCAAAGGTATAGGATTGTAGTAGGATTATTATTTGCGATTGTATGTGATGTTAGTATGTTAAGGAGGTAGGTAAAAGTGTGAACGAAATAATTCTATAATGATAAGTGTATAGAGGTGTGTGTAACATTAGTGTGTATCATATTGCTTATATTTCAAATAATATGTTCGTCTTTTCCATTTTAGGATGAGGTGTAAGGACATGTGAAATGGAGACGCACACAATATGTGTAATGACAGCGTTTCCCGCTAGGGATTAATAAGATGATGTAACAGTTAGGGTCGACAATTGTAACCTATTTTAAAGTAATAAAGAATAATTATTTGAATATTACATGATTTATGTGTAATTATATGCAATATATGTTCTTATAATGATATAATAAAATAGGAATAAAATACGGATCTAAAATAGGATAAAAATTAGTTCGGATATCTGATAGTTGAAGTAGTTGTGACAAGGATTATGGAGATATAAAAAACGGTCCAATCCAACTAATGACGAAGAAGTTATGAGCATTTGAAGTGTCACACCCCCGACTGAGGTGGCGGGACCGGGTTGTGCAACTAAGTTCATGAATAACAGGTAAACTAAATGTATAGAACAAATAAAACAATAAACAAAATAGCATTCGTTTTCCATCTTGTCTTTTGAATACAAAGTTCTTATAGATAATAATAGTACATAAACTGCCTTAACATATAGGTAGATAATACAACAAATTGTATACTAGGTGGCTTGTAATCCATTCCGTCTTGAAGGTTTGTTTAGTGATTTCCTGAGAATACATGTAGTTTTGAGGGTCAACATAAGGTTGGTGAGAGTAACAGGTTTCTACTAACAATCGTAATACTTTTAAAAAGTCTAAAAAGTATTTTCTTTGTAAGTAGAACAATACTTAAAACTATGTTTGGAAAGAGTCTTTGAAAGCCAAAATGTATCTTTGTATAAGTAAATCCATACTTAAAACTGTGTTTCTGAAGAATCCTTGAATATACTTGAAAACCAAAATGTACTATTACAAAAGTAAATCCATACTAAAAATAGTTTTGAAGGAAACCAAGTCCATGTTTTCTAGTAAAAGAGAGACCATAAGTAAATCCATACTTAAAATGGTTTTGAAAGCAACCAAGCTCATGGTTTGTAGCGAGAGAGAAAGATTCTAGTTAGTGTTTATAGTTAGTCTTATAACCGAGCTATATGGTTAAATGTACCCCTACGACGCTTCATTGGATGTTGTAGTAACAATTGAGGCACTTATCACCCGTTTTGATTGATCAGTCGAGGTTGTAGCTAGCAACTACATGTGGGGATGTCAACCCCATATAGATCTATACATATGTATCTTGCTTAGAAGGTTAACGATTATAGTAGTGTGGGTATGCTAAGTGTTTAGACTTGGCTAATGAATATAGTCTCACTAAAAAGCCCTTAACTAAAGTATGTGAATAGCTATCAGCCCTAAGTTATTTGTGGATAAGTCACTAGGAATAATAAATTTCATTGTATAAAGTTTATAAAAGTCGAGTATATCTAGTATGTATGTGTAGTGTAAGGAAGTTACTTTCATAAAAAGGTACGTCTCAAAGTATGTACATGTGCATAGAAATAGTTTGAATCCTTGAAATACTACAAAGTTTTACGATGCGCTTTTTATGACATACAATATCATATAAAATCGTGTATTTTTGTATGATATAACATTGGATGTGTGGACTAGTTATTTCACGACAAAATAACTATAATATGTATATGTAAAGTTTATACTAGTTTATTTGTAACAATATGTTACATTGCCAAATAACATTTTTATAAACTAGACTTGTTGTATTTTCACGTAAGATGATAATTTGTTTGCATAAACAAAGTATATAGGCATATGTGTTCCCCTCCACCCCCCTTTCTTAGAAAAAATAAAAATATTAAAAATGGGCCGTAAGCACTTATCCTTGAAGCGTGAATTCGATTTGTACGAAATCAGTTTATTTTGAGAAGCTAGATGTGAGAAACCATAAAGCCACGATTCTTGAACTTTTAAATACTTTGTAGGACCGTTTTGTAACGAATTTACACTATAAGGGTTTTTTTTTTGTAACTTCACTAGACTATAGGGGTTGTTTGGTCATTTAACTAACTAAAGTAGGACTACCTTGGTTGAAATAAATCAAGGAAATGATTGATTTTGTAGTAATTTAAACAAGGGAGGGACTGAAATGGTTTATGAGGAATTAAAATTTGAGACTCGAACTTAATTTGTTAAAAATTTCCAATAAAGGGGCTGACATGCTTAATTTAAATCAAAGTTTGGAGGTTGGGATTTATTTTGAATTAATGGCTCCACAAGAGAGTTAGTTTGGTCATTTCATAAAAATAAAAAGGATTTAGGGCTTTTTTTTTGCCCTCGTCATTTGTTGAGGGGTAATGAAGGAACGAACGAAAGCGGATAGAACATACAAGCGGACGATTGTAGTCAAGAAGGAAAGCACGAAGGCTCGCAGGCAGTTAGGAAATCCGGTTTTTTGTCGATCGATCGCAAGAAGGGAGCGTCTCTGGGGGTCGACGAGACCGAAGAAAGGAAGGGACGAAGCAGTGAGGCTGCTCTCTACCTGCTCCGATAATGAGGTGGTAAGGGGGAAGGGGAGAACCGGTCTGCTCGGAGCGATGCGAGCAGCAACAGTAGCCCAACCGAGGCTTCGGCGGCAGTTGCTCAATAGGAGAAGAAGAGAAGGTGCGAGGGGTGAGGCCAGAAGAGGAGGTCCGATGGGAGGAAAACGAACAACAGTAGCAACTCAAGTGGGGGGTGTTTGGCACGGGAAGGAAGGAAAGGTGCGACCGGGGCTGCTCCAACGGCCTCCGATTTAATATTTGAAAACAGGTGCATTTTGACACAACGATTCGTGTAATTACTCTAAAGAAATTAGGTCAAAGAAAAAAAAATATCAGTCTCAAATCGAAAACTTACGCTTCTGGAATATTCCCTGCATCTAATCACCATTTGAACCCCCTAAGGTGCCGCCTCTATCACAAACAACTTTTGTGCATTTTAAAAGTTTTTGATGATAAATTTATCGAGATTTGATGGGGATGAGTTGAAGGCCATTTTTTTTAGAAGAACATATTATCTTTTTCTTTTAGTTTATTAAAAAACATGAAAATATCATGTCGGCTTTCAAGATCACCCATTTTTATATTTTAAATCTCATGATTATTGTTTTTTTTATATATATTTTAATAAATTTATGGAGATTCCCCGTACTCAACGGGATTTTACACAAAACTTGTTAGGGATTACATGGAGGTGGGGGCTGGGACGGGTGTTAGGATTGAAGTTGAGGTGCTAGAACGAATATTATAGTCCCTGCCAATATCCACCCTCGTTTGAATCACTAACCCAACGGATAACAACAATAAAGTTGCAAGTACAAAAGAAGGCACAAGTACGAATGTACATGTTATCATTACTATATATGAAAACTCTTGTATTCTCTTGCCTTTTAAATCAAATTAACCCACTTCCAATACCTTATTATATGAAAAGCACAAACAAATTAAATGAGCTATGAGTTATACTACTCACTTACCCTCATTTTAATTCTACACTACTCCTTTCTGTGTGAGTGCTTGTCCTTAGAAGTGTTTCTTGAATATACAATTATGCATCCTTCAACAAGCTCTTTAAATCAAAGTTTATTTACAAATACAATTAACCTTAAAAACCTACACCAAAAACATGGCACCCAAGCTTTGTGGATCCATTTGAATCATCATAAGAGTAGAAACAATCTCGTTCATACTTAATCTTCTCGATGGTTCACTTTCCAAACAACCAATACTCAGTTTCACCAAACACAGTGCAAGTTCATCTTGATCTATAACAAACCCGAGCGCATGTCTAACTTTCAACCGAGGGTCAATAATGTAATTAACCATACTTTTCGCATTATTTCCATCACCCATAATCGATACAACTTCTTCACACAACATCACTTGTCCCCCATCATCATCATTCTCATAAACAGCTTTTTTCCCCGTTATCAATTCTAACAAAACAACTCCAAATGCATACACATCGGTCTTCGTTGTCACAAATCCTGCCTCTAAATACTCCGGTGCGAGGTACCCCTTTGACTCTGAACGAGATTTTATGGATGAATTTACATTTTCGCCCTTCTGTGTTGACTTTGTAAGACCAAATTTTGAAATCTTGGCGCGTAGATCCTTAGTTAATAGAATATTGCTACTGTTTATATATTTATGAACGTATGTTGGATTCGCAAAATTATGTAGATATTGAAGACCTTTAGCAACATCTAAAGCAATACGAATACGATTATTCCATGTTTGACTTTCTTGACAAGTCAAATCTCGAAGCCATTCGTTTAATGAACTGTTTTCCATGAATTCGTAAACAAGATAACAAGATTTATCGTGTTCACAAACTCCGTAAAGACCAATAAGATTGAAATGATTAATTTTTTGGAGAATTTTCACCTCTTTATTCGCGTGTGTCTCCGTTTGTTTAATCACAACTTTTCTACCCTTTATACTTCCTTTATAAACCGAAGCACTTAATCTCTTTTCGAGGGTATATCCGTCCGTGGCCTCCTCTAATTCTTCAAATTTGTAGATTTTGAGAACTTGATCAACACTAGCAATACCAAGTTGGATATCTTTAGGCAACTCCAATTTTACGATTTTACCCTTATTCGCTCTTTTCCTTTTCGATACTAAGCATATCACAAAAACACCACAAAGAATGGCCAAGCAACCACCTGATATCATCCCGATAATGATTCCTTTCTTTGACAACTTTGGATTCTGATTTCGATTCCGATTCCGATAGAATGTTCTTGTTTGAGAACTTAAAGGTTCGGTAGACACAGAGGAACAAGAAGGGTAGTAAACGGAAAAATCAAATCTTTAACAGAAGAAAAACCGTTTTCCAAAACTAAATCTTGAAATTTCACATCAAACCGTTTACTAATTTTCTTGATTGAATCTTGCCAAGTACTCAAGTAAGTCAACAGAAACCTGATTCCCGACATGGTTTGATTAACTTTAGGACACGCACATCTAAGTGGGACACGAATCTTGCCACCAACTTGTAAATCATTTTCTTTATAAATATTGTTCTTTTGGAGGGAATCACATGTGGTTAAACCTTGGAATGTGAAATTTGCGATAGTGAAATAGTTGGTGTTAATTGGAATAACAAAAGATGTGTTAGCTCGATAGTACTTACCAGAACAAGAACATGCAACCCGAATAATTAGCTCTTCGTTTAGTGGCAAGATTCCGGCGGAATCAGTGATTCCGTTGATTCGGGCGACATCCGTAGGGTCGGTTGACATAAGCTTGGAAATGGTGAAAACTGTGTTGTAAAGAGGTTGAGTTCTGAAGATTAAGAAGGTGGAACACGATTGGATTCCATTGCAAGTGTAGAGGAATTCCGGGGTTAGTTTTGTTGTGTTGGAATTGTTACATTCCAGAATGTGGTTTCCATAATGGATTCATGGTTGATCGGAAAGTGGCGTTGGAATCGAAACACTTTGTGAAATGATTGAAGTTAAGTAGTTGATGAAATGAAAGGATGATGAGTTGTTAAACCAAAAAGGGGTGAAAAGGATACAATTGTCCTTCATACGACTGTTTCATAAGTATTTAGAATTAAAAAGGAATTAAACGGCTGTTTTACTTTATTCTGTTTTTAGTTGATACTTGAACGTGTTCTGGACCGGGCTGGTTTTTCATTGAACGGGTCAAACCGGGTTTTTACCAAATTGGACCGGTTGTTAGACAAATAAAAAACTGAACCATTTGTAACTGGGCCCAAAAAACTAAACTGTTCAAAAGGTTTTTATTTGAGATACCTTTGCATTAGTTAGTGTTTTTTTGTCAGAATAAAATATAATAATGCATGAACATAATTCATAAAGTAATTATATAAACAATGTAATGTAATGAGCTATTATATAAAATTTCATGATCGTATATGGTGTTAGGATGTCGAAAACAATATTTTTTTTGTATTATATCTAATTAAATGAATAATTTTGAATTTTGCTCTACACATTAATATTAAGTGTAATAAACAAACCTATATATACAAAAGTAAAATAATAGAGATAATAAAAACTTATTTAAACACAAATAAGTTAAAAATCTTTTTTTTTTTTAATTATTTCAGAAAACTTGATATTTAATTAAAATAATGACTTTTTGTTAAATGGTTTTTTAATTTGTTTTACTAAAAATTACATCTCCAAAATGAATTATTGTGCAATTACACATATGGAATGAAAAAATTATTAATGATTGAAAATTACCAAAATAAAAAGAACTATAAATCTGATCTATTGTATTCTATAAATGAATTATTGTGCAATTACACATATGGAATGAAAAAATTATTAATGATTGAAAATTACCAAAATAAAAAGAACTATAAATCTGATCTATTGTATTCTATAAATGAATTATTATGCAATTACACATATGGAATGAAAAAATTATTAATGATTGAAAATTACCAAAATAAAAAGAACTATAAATCTGATCTATTGTATTCTATTAAGTAAAGGAATTTTTTTTTTTGACTCAATTCAATGAACCATTGATTTCATCTTCATAAACCATTAAACCCTAGAGTAGTCTATAATGGATTTGAGATCAAACTACAATGCTTGATTTCATTTTGATACAAAAAAAGCTAATTTGAATAGAATTGACTATTCCTAATAGAATATGTTTCCTTTTTTTTTTAATCTCTAAATATTATTAAAAGAGAACCTTTAATTCTAAAATGAAGAAATCAAAGCCATTAATTGCATTTTAATCTTATATTTTCCACCATTAGATTATTTGCTGACATCATCTTTATCAATCGTTTTAATTTTATCCACCAAATTTATAAAACGTATATCATGTTTTATATTAGAAAGTTTATTAATAACAATTAAATCTCATCAAAAGTAAAAATTAATTAAATTATGAATTCTATTGATGACAATTAAATCTCACCAAAAATAAAATGAATTAAATTAGGAATTCTATTAATAACAATTAAATCTCACCAAAAATAAAATGAAAAAAATACACCAGCGCACCCTTTATTACCAATATCCCTACATTTTCTCCTCATTTCTTTACATAATCTATCTAACCTAAGTTTTGTACTGGAGAAGAAAATAGGGGAAAAAAGAAATAGAGTACTTGTAGGTTTCGATCTATATGGATTAATCTTGTGTTCGATCATCATTGAAGAATTAGGAATGATATAGAGATAAATTTTATTTGGATTCTACTTTAATTTGATCGTAGTTTAGATCGATTTTGGTTAAGTTTTACATTATGTTTATTTTATTATGTTTCAACTATGAAGTTCCAATCTATAAAACCTTTCGATTTAAGTTTAGATCGATAATGGTTACGTTTTGTAAATCTGCTTCGATTTTTCTTCTTATGATCTATATTGTTGATTTTGATTTTTTAAGTTATATGTATCTTAGAGCAAAAAGATGGACACAATAGCACAACTACCTCTCGTCCATTGTTTCGATTTGGAAGATATGTCCACTAGGTAGTAAATTTGTATATGTCAATTTTATTTTTTTATTTTTACGTTTTTTGTGTATGTGTTTAGTCAATGATTTTTGTTTGTGGCTTACGAAATCGTGAATGGAAGATATACCTGAGTCAATGTCCATAATGTTTTACCCATTTGATCTCTTCTTGAATTTAGAGATGAAATTCAAACCCTTATACCAATGAGTGATCCACATATCCTACAACTCAACAAAACCCACTAGTGATATTTGTTTTGATTTATTGTAAAAAAACTCTTTTTATAAAAACACAAATTGGGCTTTCAGAAAGGAGTTATTCACCGATCCCTTTTTAATATTATAAAATATTTTTTAGACTCAATAGCAAAGAAAATACAAAGTTTTAATATACCATGTAAATAGATTACATCGATAAACCTGATTGGAAAATGTTTATGATTGATTACTTTTGGTTACTTAGTAGGGCTTTTTTTGTGAAAAACTGTATTCTAATTTATATTACATATTATTATGTTTTTTTCAAATGAGAGATACATAGAACTCAGATTGCTAATTTTCATTTTGTGTTTTTGGAATACGTTTTAGTTATGAACGTGATGCTATGCAAGTACTTGCGTTGTCTGGTCATGTTGAGAAGTATAATAAGAACCTTGCACAACCTTATTATTTCGTTTAACTGGTTTGAATCCTCTTATTGACTTTACTTTCTCAAGGATAAATAGTTGTACCCTACACTCTTGAAAATAGGGTTGGGAACATTATGAGTATCTAGCTTTTCTCCGCAATAAGATAAGACATTAGTATAAAAGTTGCAATATAAACCTTTTTAAATTACATAATAATAACTAAACAAAGATATGTGAAAGATTATCTTTATAATTTAAATTGCAATATATACCATAAAATCGTATTAAATATTTATTATATTCCGTTCCATGCCTCACAAACATGTCTCTGAAACAAAATTACTCATTCTATTATCTAGCTTTTACGATTACCTATCAATATGGAAACCATCATTCATGAACCCGCTACCATATCAACTTTTCCCTCTCCCTTTTCTTCCATCTTTTCCAACCCACAACACATAGAAACCTTATCCTTTTCAATCCACTCAATTTTAAAAAATACAAAAAAACTATGGTATAAGTTTTAAGAAACATGGTACAAGAGGAGAGAGAGAGAGAGAGAGAGAGAGAGAGAGAGAGAGAGAGAGAAAGGATGAAGCGGGTTAGTGAAGCTACATAAACAACCCACTCCTCCTAGCCCACTCAAGCTGGAGTGGTATCTTGGAGGTATCATTCTTACTATGACTCTATCCTCCCTAACCAGAATATATTAATGTGCTTACATTCAAATGTTTATTAAACATGGTAAATAACAATATCTGAAAACCGGGATGCTTCTTTCATTCTTTTCTATACGAATCAAATTTGTGGATTTAATTAGCACGATGAAAGAAACATATGTTTTGCATCCATATTTCATTATAATAAGATTATATAAACAATAAACGATCATTCGATTACCGTCTATGAACAAAAAAAAGCTCAAAGAAGAGTGTGTATGTGTAGCGAAAGGGAGTTCGGTGAACTTAAAGTTAGCAATAAAGGTACTCACTATATACTATTGTTATCTATTATATAGTATCTTATCTTTTAAAGAATGCTAAAAATGTTAATTTTTAGTTTTTTTTTTCAACATTTTGACTATTTTTTTTATAGTTTCTACCCGACAATTTAGCTGATGATGTATTGATGTTGAAGCCTTTTCAAGTATTGGAATTAGTTATCATTTGAATGTCTTTTGATGTAAATTTTAAGTAATTATTGTTTATAATCATTATTTTACTTAGAATTTTCTTTCAGGTTTTAGAAGCAAAGTAGCACATATAATTAGTACTATTAAATGAAAAAACAAAACTTAGCAAAATTATCAAAAAAAAATTGGTGTTGATGTTGTCTATACCGTGTAAATCACAATTACAAGAATCAATATTAGCACATATATATGGTTAAGATTACAATTTTTAAACAACGTTCGTATCTTCAAAACATTTTGCATGATTAGTTTAAATTAACTATTGTACATTCATGTTATATCAAATATCACACGTACATAACGTCGATCAGATATTTCAATGTATATATTAATTTTAACTAATCATTATAATTTTACAAATAAAACATCTATCCTTATAAATTAATAATTTTTTTTAAAACATTAATTAGTTATTAGGATTAATTTTACATTTATATTTATTATTTTTATATGTCCCCACGTTATACGTGGGTCATAATCTAGTTTAATTTAATTTAGAATACGCATTTTTTTCTATATGTAAAAAATTTAATAACTAAAATTCAATAATTCACGCTTAACATAAAATAACATATTATTAAAGTCCCATTAACTACCTTTTTGGTTAATTAAACAGCCCCTTTCAACACCTTTTTGGTTTGAAAACATTTCCTAGTTCTTTATTCTTGATGAGTTCAATTTTCCACAAATGACATCATCATGCTTAATACTTGTCGTTCCTATTCATTTAGTCAACAAACGATGCTTCAATTCCCAGCTACTTAACTTCAATCATTTCACAAAGGGTTCTAATTCCAACCCCACTTTCCTTTTCCCATCAATCATGAACCCATTCATGTTCCTGTTTCCATTCCTGTTTTTCACTCACGAATCCATCGCTCAACAAACGTACTCCGGAAACACAGTTATGGATTGCGACAATTCCGACAAAACAGGACCTTTCCCTTCATTCCTCTACACCTGCAACGGAATACAATCGTGTTCCACCTTCTTAATCTTCAGAACTCAACCACTTTACGACACCGTTTTCACCATCTCCAAGCTCATGTCAATCGACCATATGGATGTTGCTCGGATCAACGGAATCACCGATTCCAATGACATCTTGCCTCTAAACAAAGAGCTAATCATTCCGGTAACGTGTTCTTGTTATGATCAATACTATCAGGCTAATACATCTTTTGTTATTCCCACTTTTTATGACACGTATTTCACTATCGCAAATCTTACATTCCAAGGTTTAACCACATGTGATTCCCTCGAAAAATATAATGTTTATGATCGACTTGATTTGCATGCTGGTGACAAGCTTCATGTCCCGCTTAGATGTGCGTGTCCTACGGTTAGTCAAACCAACGACGGAATCAGGTTTCTGTTGACTTATTTGATTACTTGGAAAGATTCGATCAAGAAAATTAGTAAGAGGTTTAATGTAAGTGTTCATGATTTAGTTTTGGAAAACGGGTTTTCTTCTGTTGAAGAGATTTTTCCTTTTACTACCCTTCTTGTTCCTCTATCTACCGAACCTTTGAATTCTCAAACAAGAACACTCGGCCGGAATCGGAATTGGAATCTTTCAAAGAAAGCAATCATAGCTGGGGTGTTATCAGGTGGTTTCTTAGCGATTCTTTGTGGTGTTTTTGTGATATATTTAATATCGAAAAGAGAAGTGAATAAGGGTAAAACCGTAAAATGGGCGTTGCCTAAAGATATTCAACTTGGTATTGCTAGTGTCGATCAACTTTTTAAAATCTACAGATTTGAAGAATTAGAGGAGGCCACGGACGGATTTACCCTCGAACACAGATTGAGTGCTTCGGTTTATAAAGGGAGTTTAAAGGGTAGAAAAGTCGCGATTAAACAGATGGGATCACACGCGAATAAAGAGGTGAAAATTCTTCAAAAATTTAATCATTTCAATCTTATTGGTCTTTATGGAGTTTGTGAACATGATAAAGCTAGTTACCTTGTTTATGAGTTCATGGAAAATGGTTCTTTAAACAAATGGCTTCAAGATTTGAATTGTCAAGAAAGTCAAACATGGAATAATCGTATTCGTATTGGTTTAGATGTTGCTAAAGGTCTTCAATATCTACATAATTTTGCGAATCCAGCTTATGTTCATAAAGATATAAATAGTAGTAATATACTACTTACTAAGGATCTACGTGCCAAGATTTTCTAAATTTGGTCTTGCAAAGTCAACGGAGAAGGGCGATAACGTAAATTCATCTATAAAATGTCGGTTTGAGTCAAAGGGTTACCTTGCACCGGAGTATTTAGAGGCGGGATTTGTGACAACCAAGACTGATGTCTATGCATTTGGAGTTGTTCTTTTGGAGTTGATAACCGGAAAGAAAGTTGTGTATGAAAATGATGATGATGGAGAAGAAGTGATGCTGTCTGAAGAAGTTGCTTCGATCATGGGTGATGAAAAGAATGGGAAAGGAAAGGTTAATTAATATTGACCCTCGGTTGCAAGCTAGACATGCCCTTGGGTTTGTTATAGATCAAGATGAACTTGCATTGCGGATGGTGAAACTAAGCTTGGGTTGTTTGGAATCGGAACCATCAAGAAGATTAAGTATGAATGAGATTGTTTCCATTCTCATGATGATTCAAATGGATGCACAAAGCTCAGAAACAATATTTATGGTGTAGAGTTTTAAGATTGATTCATTAGTTGTATCTATTGAGCCTTTGGGAATAACAAATTGTATGTAATAGTCAAAATTATGATGTAAAAAACTTGTTGAATTGTGTGTATTCAAGAAACAACATCAACAATCAAATAAAAGAAAGTTCTTGCATCATGTAATTATACAATTAACTAACCATTTTAAGAAAAAAAATTACCATCAAAAGATGCTTAATAACTGCAAGACATACGGTTAAAGTTGAAATTGTGTATACTCTATTTAAAGTACAGGAAATTTACATGCCAAAATTATAGGAAAAATGACAATGTAGCAGAACAAACATTTTGCTTTGTCCCAGATTGATCACTAATGTTTTTTTTTTTTTTTTGCAACAAACCCTTAATGTATTATTTTACCAGTTAAATAAGGTAATTAACCAATTTCATTCCGGTGTCCAAGTTGCATTTAGTCTAGGTATCATTTTTGTATTTTTTTTCAAAATAAAAAATTAAACTAACAAAAACGTGAGTTTTTCTTTCATTTTTTTGTTAATAAAAATCCCTTGTGAGCAATCTCCTTCTCTATTCCCAGTACTAACCCTGGTCAGTAACTCAATTATAAACAATCGTTGGTTCCCTTCTTTGGCAACTCCTTCACGAACCATCTTGACGACTTTCATCGCAACCATCTATAGCGTGTTTGTGTTTGCTTATAGCCTTGTGCTCACCATTATAGATCTCTCGCTTCATTTAAATCAAGTTCTCCTTTCCATCAACGCATGTTCATGAGAGGGAAGGGAACCAGCATTATCGGATTTGGCCCCGGAAAGAAAAGGGAGGCGGTTGGGGAAGAGCTTTTGCTCGTAACTACGAACGATCTATTTCATAGCTTAAAAAAGATTTGAAATTAATGTGTGTAAAGTGCATTCACAAACCATCCTCGAGTATTGAAGATCACAAGCAGTTATATAAAGTGAAGTGTGAGAATTTTTAGAATCCTGGTGTTTGGTACCGTAGATCTTCTTCTCGACTCCATGGATTCCATCGAACCCTTTAGTATTCAATTAATCTAATTTTCTTTAGCTGGATTTTATGAAGTTCTAAACTTCATCTCTTTGTTCATCTTTTTTTAGATTTAGAGTTTATTTTGTTGTGTTCATTTGATGTACTTTTTCTTATGGATTTTTTTAAAGCTCTGAACGTCATCTATATCTTCATCTTTTTCTGGATTTGATGAGTTCATGATGGGTCCTTGCAAGAATTTCCCTTTTAGTCTATCATATTACAAAAGTTTTTGCTTTTTATTATTTCGGTTTCAAGTTATCTTTAGTGTTTAAGGTCCATATTTAGGTGATAGAGGTTGAAACTATAGAAGAGAAAGAGAATTTTTGGAGGGAGACACCGGGAGAGACTTCGAGTCCAAATAAATTTTGATGGGAAGGCGAATGCACAATCTTCTACCCTGAAAAGCAACAACTTTCCCTGTTGATCCATAGCTTGAAGCCAATTGGCATACAACTGTTGTTTATGGATGGTTCTCTAGTAATCTGTTTTTGTATTCGATTCATCTAATGTTCTTTTTCTATATTTTATTGAAGCTTTGAACTTCATATCCTTCTTCATTTGCGTCTGAATTTAGTATTTATTTTGGTGTATTCGTGATGAGTTGGAGGACTATGAATGGTGGTAGTGTTGAGAGGTGGATAGCGGGTGGGGTGTAAGAAGGTGGTGGGGAGGTGGAAGATAGTGGTGTCGGTGTTGGGAGGTAGGTGGTGGGTGGTAGCAATGGTGGGAATTGGTTTACGGGAAGATGGAAAGTGCTTTGATTAAAATGGAATATGATTTAATAAGAATGATAATTGAAAAAGATCTAAAAAAATCCATGTAGAGGCCATGTTTATGCCACATAGGCAAGTGTTGGTGACTCAAATGTACCATGGCACAACTCGTAACCTTAGTAACCAAACCCCAAAATTTACTTCATAATGTGTAATTGACATGTAATTTGAAAGTTGATGGACTAATTATGAAAAAAAAAGACTTGAGTGACCAATCCAAGACAAAGCCAAAACTTTGTTGTGCTACAGTGTCAATTTCGCAAAATTATATGCCACATGGAACTAAATTTGGAATGGAGTTCCTAACATTTGCAGAAAAGGTGTATGAAAATGATATTTTTCATATAGGTTGTCATATGATCTAACAAGAATGAGTTGAAACATTAAATAAGGGATGGCCATAAAAATCCAAATATGTGGATTCAAATTCATTTAAAGAAGATTTAAAGTCATGCGCTTTATGGGACTTACACATTAGTCGGTGTGCACTCCAACTTAAATTTTTCAAGAGTAACAAACTCTAGCGACAAAACGTAGTCTCCATTAATGGGTAGATGGATAAAGTTTTGCACTTTATCGAAACAAAATTTGATCTTTAAGACCCATAAACACATATGATTTGTGTTTTTTATACACCATAGGACTTGAACCCTCAACCACTTGAGAAGGACACATTTCCAACACACGTGATACTGTTAGGTCAAAGGTCTTTTGGTACATATGTCGTTTGTTGATTTCAGGTCCTCTGGACTTGCTGGGAAAATGGCCTCAAGATTCTAAAATTACACCTATATTATTAGATGTTACAATCAAATAGATTAATCTATCAAGCCTACTCCAAATTCCTCTTATACTCTTCACAATATAGAGCAACACTTTTCTACCTTATAAAATAAAAGAAGAAAAAAGAAAAAAATCAAACGCTTCAAGTGTATGAGATTGGGGTGTACTGAAACCAAAACATTGGTCTCCTTTTATAGTCTTGAGTACCAACCAAGCTTCTTTCCTTCCTTGCACCGATGTGGAATGTAACACTATTCATTTATTAGCCAAAAACTCAACAATTTGTACATTGGATAATTAAATGAAAGAAAAGTGCAACCACATAAAAAAGGAACATTATCTTTAGTTGGAAATCATAATTCTAAAGTAATAGAATTATCATACTCTACCATAAAAAATATCACCGCTTAAAATATATCATCCTAATAATTCCACTATGGCACATATTGGATATTTTGTTGAAAAATTATGGTACGACTTCCCTTTTTTGCATACCTGAAAAGTTATTAGCCATCAACATCAATTTTCACCACACATCTTATATTTATGCCCATCTAATTCTTATGTATAAATATGCGCAGTCGCTAACAAAAACATATGCCTTTCCATGGTAACATACATACCATAGGGATGCCAAATCTCAAACAAAATCATCACCGTTAATAACGAAATATATATTTTTAGTTGTATTAGAGCCTTATGTCAAATTTGCTTCAACTACACAATTTCACGTAACATGCCCAAACTGTCTACACTTCCAACATATTAGAGTCTTCTTTTATTTTTCTTCTTTCTATTCTCACATGTCAAAATAGTCCCTTCTGAAGAAGAATGGCTGCTACTTTCCAATGTATTTTTTTCTTCTAACAACAGTTTGTTAGTCACATCTACATACGATGATGTCTCTTTCTCATACATCATAATGGGATTTATATGCTCATAGAGAGATGTAAAAGATAATATGAGCCTCAATGCTTTGTCCTCGTCTTCAACCTTCCATTCAATAACATCTAGTTCTAACACAATATTATTAAGAACACTTAATGGTCTGAAATTTGTTGTGTCTCAATTCATATGAAGAGTAAGAAACTGATCCTTGAGATCATATCTGGTTCATCAATCTTAGCAACTGTAACATCCTAATGTCCAGGTTCTTCTAAATTTATCCATATAATTCTTATTCATGTCAAATTGGTCCTTAAGTTCTAGAATTATGCTTTGAATCCCTAATGGAAATTTCATAATTTTGGAAAGAGGGGCACACCAAGCATACATGTGTGTACGCTGAGCATACTAGAGCATGCCCTAGTATGTTAGGCGTACACTTATGTATGTGGGGAGCACTAATATCAGGAGGAAACCACCCTAATTTTTAGGGTGTAAGGGGTATTTAAGCAACATTATGGCTCATTTCTCCGTACCTTTTCATCCGCCACATCCTTTGAGACGTTTTTGCAAACCCTAGCCCCCTTAGTGTGTAGTTTGAGCTCAATAGTGTGTTTTTTGGTGTGTTAAAGGAATAAGAAGTTGCATCAGGGAGCCTTGAATTGGAAGCAAGCTTGTGGATCTGGGATCTTTGCCATCTTAAGATGCTCCAGAAGGTATAAAGCCTATACCTTGATGTCTTGGTTGTTAGATCCCATTTCGGGTGTTTTATGTTGCTTTTCTTGTCCCAAAGGTCCCATATTGTGCATGGTTGGTTATTGTCATTTTGAGTTATCTTTCCAGACCCTAGGAGGGGTCCTAAGCCATAAAAATGAGGTCCCAATTGCTAAAACTGGTTCATGCATCTTGTAGAAGGTCTTAATGGATTAAGACCTTGTATTAAGAGTTTTGTCTACTTATAAAGTCATAAAGTTGGAAACATTATGACTCTAGGGTGCATTTGGAACATATATCTGAAGTATGGGCTTCAGTGCATAAGACATTAAGCACTTAATGAAGTTTTTGGGGTTGCGAGGTAAGGCCCCGCGTACTCAGTCAACCACCCCAATGGTGGTCTTCCATGAGACTTTGCGTACTATAAGCGTACCTCCGGAGTACGCCCAACGTACTTGCATGGGTCAGCCTTGTTGAGTTGACTCAGTTGATTTGATTTGGCTGGGTTGACTCGATTGACTTAGTGGGTTTTGACCAATTGACTTTGACCAAGTTTGACTTTGAGGGTATTTTGGGATTTTAATGGAATCGGTTATTTGGTGGA